AAAGAAGCAGAAAAGTTACACAACACACCTTTAATTTTATGAAGATTTTTTATGTTTTGGTTTGTTTGTTGTGATTTGCCTGTAAAGCCATTTGTATTACTTTGTGTACACATTCTTCTATACAAATAATCTTGCCTTGTGTAATAGTAGAGCTGGGTATCATTCAGAAGTTGCTGATACGATACATATCTCGATACATAGACCACGATACGATACATACTTTGATACATAGACCACGATATGATACATATCTTGATACATAGGCCATGATATGATACATAGGCCACGGTACGATACATATCTCGATACATAGGCCACGATACGATACATATCTTGATACATAAGCCACGATACGATACATATCTCGACACATAGGCCACGATACGATACATACTTCGATACATAGGCCACAAAACGATACATATCTTGATACATAGGCCACAATACGATACATATCTCGATACAATGAGCTTACAATTCGATACAATTCAATACGATATATTTCAAATTGATTCGATATGGTTCAGTTAAAAAAAAATAAAATAAATTTAATCATCAAAACAGTGAAAATATCAAATGTGTCATATAAATAAGTCGCCTTCCACTAAACAAGCAACAAAACTGTAGTGCTGTAACAAAATAATTTACTAAAATATACCGAAAAATACTCCTGGTGATAAATCGATACAGCAGCCCAAGATATTAATACTGTATCATCACATTAAATGATACGATATATCGATATTTCAATATTTTTGCACACCCCTAGGTAATAGTAGGTGCCTTATTAACCCTATTACAAATGTATGTTACAAGTGTGAAATTCCTAAATGTCTGTAGTAGTATTTGTAGTTGTGGTGTAATTAAAATTGTTGGGTGAATAGTCAAACCGTGGAATCTATAAACTATGAAAAGGGAATTTAATGAGGTACAGTTAATGTGGTAATGAAGTACAATAGTAGAAGTTCCTTGTGAACTCACATCATGCATTTCAAAATACCAGATTGTTTAGTCATTGCGTATATAAAAATTGCCCCATAGCACTTGTCACATACAGGTTTTTGTTTGGCCTGGTGTCTAGGAAAAGTGCCCCATGATCAGAGAAATTATTTTACTCACAACACGCCCAAAATGAACAATAAAACTAACAAAAAAAAAAACTAAAGATGACAGAGAAGAATCAGTCTGGACATGCCCGTGCACTCAGATGAGTTATACTATTTATACAGTTTCCAGATCTGAAAAAAGCCGTGGAATATTCCGTAGCGTGGTATTAAACCTTTCTATCTTCATGGAGACCAGACCAGACCAAGTTACAGGTCAGATCTGTGGAGAGGCGACCCCGCTCAGAGTCAGAATACATGTTTTTCTAGATATTTTTGAGCAATAAAACCACCTGTAGTGCAATAAATGTAAAGTAGAGCTGTTTAAAGTCATACTGTGGAACATTTCAGGCAGAGCAATGACATCTCCATAGAAACAAGAAGATAACGGACCCCCAACTAAAAAGTTATAGTGAACCTTTATTAAAAATGAACTGTGTAACTTGTGCTGTCACCTATTCCGCAGTAAGGCCATAAATGTCTTGCAGGCCAAATTACAAGTCAGATCTGTGGAGAGGTGGCCCCACTCACATTAAAAATTTATATTATTAAAGATATTTTTGAGCAATAAATCACACTTGTAGCTGAATACACGCAAGACGAAGTTTAGTTTAATGCCATACTGTGGACAATTTAAACCAAAGAATGAACAGGTTGCGGGCCCTCTCCAGAAAAGTTACACAGTGCACCTTTAAATAGGACTAGGACATTCTTAAATAGACAGGTACAGGCCTAACTTCTTAATTTGATTTGTACTTTTGTTCATGAGGGGTTTACACTTTACAGATTGGGAAAACAAAACTACAGTTCAATGTTTTGTTTTGTTTTTCAGATTAAAATCTTCTATTCACGTTTAGTTTTATTACCATATTACGTTATGTTTTTTCTTTAGGTACTCTAATGAAAAAATAAAAATAAATAAAAACCGTGTGGCGTACGTTTCATTCAAAAGAAACATACGTAAATCCACTGTGGACTTTTGTCTTGAATCTATATAAAAGCCCGAGGCGAAAGGAACACACCAAACCTGTTGGTCCACGAGCGCACGCCACGGACAGACGCGTAAACTATGTCAAAACTTTACGTCTCGTGATTAAAGGGAGAGTATGAGGTTCCTCCAAGAGCAAAAGTGTAAAAACATGGGTCAAAAATAGAGGTTTAAATTAGTAATACTATACACAACTGCAGTTTTTGTACAATAAGAGTAGTTTGTCTACACCAGAAGTCGGATTAAGTTTGTTTTTTCTTGTCTATTTTACGCTTTTCGGCTCTTTTCTCTCAAAACTGTCGCTGTTCACGTTTTTCATCAATGAATAGAAAAACTTTACCTTGAAGTCGTGCGCTGCTCCGTTCAACGTGTCTCTTCCGTGATGCTCACCGGCTCTGTCATTTTGGAAATAGGTTCACGCCCACTTGATCAGAGGCAGTGCAGGAGGATGCGCGCGTCCGGAGGCGTAGCGCGGTGTTTCAATGCGCCTTTACGCACCGGCAACAGTGCGCTATTACGCAACAGACGAAACAGTAACAAAGCGTAATAAAGCGATAACTCCGTGTGTTATTTCTGCCAATGAAGTTGTCGCGATTGTTCGTCTGTGCGTAAAAGTGAAAGTGCAAAATTAGCTCACACCTGCTAAAAGATAGAAACGATTTAAAAAGCATTTGCGCAAAAATGGTGCGTATGCGTAATCTTAATGGAAAACAATAATATATTTTGACCATGCCCTTGGAGTTAAATGGCGAAGAAACCAAAAATTTAGGCTAATTTTTAAGTCATGTTCAGATTTGTCGTGGTTGATGACCAGTGTTGGGAAGGTGACTTTTAAAATGTATTCCCCTACAGATTACAGATTACATACCCCAAAATGTAGTTTGTAATGTAATCCATGAAATTATGTAGGATGAGTAAAGTAATCTGAATACTTTGGATTACTTGATTTGCTGTAGAGAAGCAAAGACCAGGATATCATAACATAAGATGTTTTGTATGATAAAAGAAAATAAAAAGCCCAGATTTTATTTAACCGTATTAAAAATATTATTGATAGAAGAGGAGACACGTCCACGCAGCATGATTTAGTCCAGTTAAATCCTGTTTTAGTCCTGTTTTAATCTGAGTTTAGTCCTAGTTTAGTCCTGGTTTTAGTCCTGGTTTAGTGGGGGTTTAGTCCTGTTTTAGTCCTGTTTTAGTCCGGGTTTAGTCCTAGTTTAGTCCTGTTTTAGTCCTGGTTTAGTCCAGTTTTAGTCCTGGTTTAGTCCTGGTTTAGTGCAGGTTTAGTCCTGGTTAAGACCTGGTTAAGACCTGGTTTAGACCTGGTTTAGACCTGGTTTTAGTCCTGGTTTTAGTCCTGGTTTAGTCCTGGTTTAGTGCGAGTTTAGTCCTGGTTTTAATCCTGGTTTTAGTCCTGGTTTAGACCTGGTTTAGACCTGGTTTAGATCTAGTTTAGACCTGTGTAGTTTCTGGCAATAAGGGGGGGGATATAGCCCAAAATGTGAAAATAGAAAAACAGGAAAATACCACTGTGTAATCCATTTATTTCAACAAAGTAACTGTAATCCAATTACCACTCACTGAAACAGTAACTGTAACTGAATACAGTTACTCATAATTTGTACTCTGATTACATAACTCCAGTACATGTAATCTGTTTCTCCCCAACACAGTTGATAACGCATAAATGCCCCAAGAGTCTTGGAAGTTTCTCTAATGACAAAATTTGGGTGCATATGACAGGTTAGACTCCCCGTTTGGCTGAACACAGTTAACATCACTATTTTATCTACAAATCGTGCCTAGTTCTAGTTCTTGTTTGATTTTAGGAGGATCTTTTACCTAGAGACCATACAGTTTACACAGGCCCAAACGAGTCTAAATTACACAATAGTTATGATTAAACTAATGACAAAAATGGCCACACCTTTTTGTTAAACATTTGGTTAAACAAATGTATAAACTGTCAAAAAAAAAAAAAGTCATCCTTGTGCTTAAACTGTCTCTGCATATGTAAAGATCTGTGCTAAAATAATATGAGAATAATGAAATTTGTAGTACTGGCCCATAAAGTCCTGGTTCAGAACTGGTTTAGCTGGTTTAGTTAAAGGTCCTAAATTACACTAAATGGATTCTCAAGAGCTTTAAGCCTCCTGAAAAAAACAGACTTGGAGTTGTGTTTTGTTTCTTTCACACATGTTTGAGCGATCTGTTATTATTTTTATTAGTTTGTCTTCATCTCCAAAGTTCAAAATGCTCTGTTCCACCTTGTGATGTCATGAAGTGGCAGCTAAACAGCTCCTTTTACCTTTAGTTTAGTAAAGTTTGGCATTTCCAGGGCTGAAATTATCCAAATGATTCTAGTGAAAGTGTATGGAGTTATGTTTGAGAGAAGAACTCAGCCTAAATATGCAGGGTTTGTGTGTTAAACATGTGTGAACGAAACAAAACACAACTCCAGGCAGTGTTGGGGAGTAACAGATTACATGTACCAGAGTTACATATTCAGAGTACAAATTATGAGTAACTGTATTCAGTTACAGTTACTGTTTCAGTGAGTGGTAATTGGATTACAGTTACTTGGTTGAAATAAATGGATTACACAGAGGTATTTTTTTATTTATTTATTTATTTTTTTTATTAAAGACAGCAGAACATAACATTCAAAAAAACAAAACAAACATCAACGTTTAACAATTACACAGAGGTATTTTCCTGTTTTCACATTTTGGGCTAAATCTCTGTTTATTTGTTTGTTTGGGTTTTTCGGTAATTCCACTCATTGCCGGACACTAAACCAGGTCTAAACCAGGTCTAAAACCAGGTCTAAAACCAGGACTAAAACCAGGACTAAACCAGGTATAAAACCAGGTCTAAAACCAGGTCTAAACCAGGTCTAAACCAGGTCTAAAACCAGGTCTAAAACCAGGTATAAACCAGGTCTAAATCAGGTCTAAAACCAGGTCTAAACCAGGACTAAACCAGATCTAAACCAGGACTAAACCAGGTCTAAAACCAGGTATAAAAACCAGGTCTAAATCAGGTCTAAAACCAGGTCTAAACCAGGTCTAAACCAGATCTAAACCAGGTATAAAACCAGGTCTAAAACCAGGTCTAAACCAGGTCTAAAACCAGGTCTAAACCAGGACTAAACCAGGTCTAAACCAGGACTAAACCAGGTCTAAAACCAGGTTTAAAACAATGTCTAAACCAGGTCTAAAACCAGGTCTAAAACCAGGTCTAAACCAGGTCTAAACCAGGTCTAAACCAGGTCTAAATCAGGTCTAAAACCAGGTCTAAACCAGGTCTAAAATCAGGTCTAAAACCAGGTCTAAAACCAGGTCTAAACCAGGTCTAAAACCAGGTCTAAACCAGGTCTAAACCAGATCTAAACCAGGACTAAACCAGATCTAAACCAGTTCTAAACCAGGTCTAAAACCAGGTCTAAACCAGATCTAAACCAGGACTAAACCAGATCTAAACCAGGTCTAAAACCAGGTCTAAAACCAGGTCTAAAACCAGATCTAAACCAAGACTAACCCAGGACTAAACCAGGACTAAACCATGCAAGTTATAGGTGTATGGGCCTGATTGTGTTTGTATATAAATGCTTTTGTTTTTTGTTTTTTTCCAAATGTGAGTAAGTTCGGGTGTTGAGTTGTGCTCTGATTTCGGTACTGTTTTATATGTTATTTAGCACCATATGATTTGTGTTCTTGACGCCTAATAGCATGTGCACATTATGATCACGTGAGGCGAAAAATTATGTGTGAATAAAGTGAAGAAAAGTATGCCCGTGGGGGAATGCGGTGATCACACAAAAAAGTATAAACGTGTGAACTGTGTCTTAATGGTCATGTTAAACTCTGTGTAGAGGGGATCCTGCTTACAAAACTTTGATAACTTTTTGGTTGGGGGGTCTGTCACCTGCTCGTTTCTATGGAGATGTTCCACAGTGTGACATTAAACGGCTCTACTTTACATTTATTCATTTACAGGTGGTTTTATAGCTCAAAAATGCCTAGGAATTCTGGTCTGGTCTTGTTTCCATGAAGATAAAAAGGTGAAACATTCCAGAGAACGCAAAAACATCTCCATGGAGAAAAGCTTTAGACGGACCCTCCAGCGGAAAAGTTACACGATGCACCTTGAAGACTATTTTGCACTTGTGTTTGTACGATTATTGTACTGTTCATGTTTAGTCCCTGAGCGATTGACCTGCAGACCCGACCTGAGTGATGAAGTTCAGAGCAGCTCGACAGGACTGACTTGAACAACTTTCCCGAGGCATTCAAAACAAACAAGCTGCTTTTGGGTTGACCTTGTTAAGAGCTTCTAAATGCAACGTGAGCAGGCAAAAGTTTGGGCGCACCTTTTCATTCAAGGGACGGACGGAACAATATGTGACGGGAAAAGGTCTCAGAGCTTTAATTATAGTCCTTTTTTGACTATAAAATGTTGAATGTTTGAAAACGTGAAGATGAAAATGAAAAATCCTGTAGTGCTCAGTCAGATATTTTCACGGTATACATCTCACGGTACGATATTTATTGCGATATTTTGTGAAGGCGAACAAAACTGGGATCATGGTCTATCCAATTCCCTCTGTTTTTTAACAATTGCTGCACCATAAATATTAATTTAAACCTTGTAATTGTAATTTGATATATTGTGATGGTCCACGATATTACTGTGAGACTTTTGATGATACAAAATCACGATTTTCGGTTATTGTTACATGCCTGCAAAGTATTGGATCTTGTATCAGCTCTGGAAAACGATTGATGGTTAGGCCTATTAGTAATTTATTAGAAGACTATTATAGTGTAAAATACCAAATAATAGCTGAGTTTCAATTAACCGCTGGGTGGAGGTGTATATTTAATAAAAAAAGCTGGTTCCAAATAAACATCGAGTCTAATTTATTACTCGGAATGGACAGGCTTTATTATCTGTGCTGTGTCCGATCAGCCTCAGAGGTGGAACAGATGACGTCGCTGTGACATCCCTATTTTAAAGTGACGTAAAAAAAGAAAGACAGCGAAACATAGAGGGCAGGAAATGGAAGCAGTTTTTAGAAGTTTTGGTAATATTACTTCAGTTTGGCAGCAGCATCGCCATAGCTGCTTTGGCCTAAGAGGAAAGTTGTGGCAAGGGGACGAGGCAGAAGAAATCGTGCCAACAAGGAAAACAAAGTAGTCGCCAGGCCATCTTATAACTGAGGCGTGCCATTAAAACTGTAAATTATAATCATACTGGTTAAAAGAATTTGAGTACCATATTTTCCTAGTTTTGTTGAGCAAGATTTTTGTGAGGAAGGAATTAATCTCCTGCCCCAAATCACTGCCTGGTCTCAAATAAAGGCCTGGTTGATTGAAACAAATAAACTTGGTTATTACTTGGTATTTTACAGTAGCCATAGTCATTACAGATTAGGGGGGGTGCAAAAATATCGATATATCATATTGTTTAATGTAATG